CTCTAGGAATCAGAGGGAGGGGCGTGATTTACAACTACATCTCTGGGCATTTCACACCTTGTAATCCATCCTTCCCTGTCACACCTCTCCATATCATGACTGTACAATATTGGCCAATGAAACAGATAGTAAAGTGAAACATAGGCAGGTGATAAAGTAAAACATGAAGAGAGCATTATAATCTGCAAAACTGTGATCACACAGAGATGTTAGGGGGACCGGAGGTGCCGAGGCTCATCCACCGGAATGAGGCAGTAAAAAAACGGAAGATGGGGGCTGGCCCGGTGGTGTAGTGGTTAAGTTTGCGAGCTCTGCTTCGGCGGCCCAGGGTTCGAGGGTTCCAATCCCAGGTGTGGACCTACACACTGCTCATCAAGCCATCCTGTGGCAGGCGTCCCACGTACAAAAACTAGAGGAAGATTGGCACAGATGTTAGCTCAGGGTGAATCTTCCTCACCAAAACAAAAACAAAAACAAAACGGGGCTGGCCGGGTGGTGTGGGAGTTAAGTGAGAGCGCTCCGCTTCAGCGGCCCGAGGGTCCACGGGTTCGGATCCCGGGCTCGCACTGATGCACTACTTGTCAGGCCATGCTGTGAGGGCGTCCCATATAAAGTAGAGGAAGATGGGCACAGATGTTAGCCCAAGGCCAATCTTCCTCAGCAAAAAGAGGAGGATTGGCATCGGATGTTAGCTCAGGGCTGATCTTCCTCACCAAAAAAATAAATAAATAAAAAGACGGAAGATGGCGGGTGAGATGTGGTGGAGCCGAAACTTGAAAGACTCTCAGGGACCAGTGATGCATTGAGCTTTAAAATTAAGCCCCTGGGGAGAGGAGTGGACTTGGCGGGGGGCGGGGGGGGGGTCCCTTTAGATCTGGCAGAATTCTCCTGGGTCCTTCTCCGGTCTTACATCTCAGACCAGTCGCAGGAAACCCTCACTGTACTGTGGTCCTGAATCTCGCGGCCCCTTCAGCCCTGCTGAGACGGTGGATCTGCTCCTCTGGGTGGACTTGGCAACCCTGGAAGGTATGGAAGCCGGCAAAGCAAACCCAGAATCTTGGTCCCAGTTTAGGAATAAGTTTTGTAATCATCGTGCGAATATCTGAGTGTTTGTTTAAGGTTTTGCAACACTTGAGTCAATCTGCCCTATTTGATTTCTGATTTGAATCAGAGCAGCATGAGTGGTAGATTGGCCGCAACATGGCTGTGAGAATTCCTCCCATCCCTTTGCAATGGGATCTGGCTGCTCCTCTCATTAAGAGGTTGAGTCTATTTCTCCACTCCCTTGAATCTGGGATGGCCTGGTGAGCTGCACTGAATGACGCGACCATGTGATTCCGTGCAACTGAACATGGTGGAAGGGATGTAGTGTGACTCCTGGGTCAGGCCTCAAGAGACATGGCAGCCTCTGCTTTACCCTCTTGGAGCAGGGCCTGGAGACCATCACGCCATGAAGACGCCCAGCTTAGCCTTTTGGAGGATGAGTGGCCACGTGGAGCAGAACCAAGGGGCTCACTGACAGCACCAACTGCGAGTCACATGAGGGAGGCCACCCTGGGCCCTCAGCCCCAGCTGGGTCATCAGATGACTGCGGCCACAGGAGTGACCCCGACAAGACCAGCGGATGAACCTTCCAGCTTATCCTGGCCCAAACTGCTGACTCCCAGTCCTAGTTGTTATTTTAAACCAGTAAGCTTCTAGTGATTTATTACCCAGCAATAGACAACCAAGACAGTAAAAAAGGATCAAAGTTCATAAAGAGTGTTTGAATTTTTAAGAGAACTGATTTACCATATTTATAAGTTGTATCTATTCGTGTATAAAAGTTGCTTAACTGATTAGAAAAACACAGGCTTGGCTGGGGAGGGCGGAGTAAGGTGGGGGGGGTGAAGATGCCCTCACCCCTCATCCCTCCCTGTTTGTAAAGAAAAAAAAAAAAAAAAGGAAAAATACCTGCTTATTAGATGTGCAAGTCTCTTCTGTTCAGAGTTTGAGATGTTTGAGAGAATCAGCTATTTCAACTCCGTAAAATGTAGTTTAAAATCTATTAGTGACTTTAATTACCTAAGTAATTGGCCTTCATTTTTAGAATTTCATCTGAACCTGTAAGTTAATTAAATATTCATCAAAGTGAAAGCAGTTGTTCTTATTTTTTACACAAAAATTAGTAGATTTATAAATAGAAAACTAGATTTGCAAGTTGCACTTGGATGTTTAAGAAAAGCTAGTTCTTTTTTTTAATTTATAAGTTTAATAAATACGGTATTAATTTAAACACAAGCAGCAGGGAGGTAGCTTTTTTCTGCATGAAAGCCCCCCTCCAACATTAAAAATCCTCAGCTGACAACACCCGACGCTACAGCCCCACTGGAAGATTCGGCATTCCACAGACTTCCAGGCCTTTGCTTCTGTGGGTCCCTCTGCCTGGAATGCACCTGACACACACACACACACTTTGGGTACCCGGTAAAATTTTCCCTTTTCCAAAAGGTCCAACTGGAACTCTGAAAAGGTCCAGTCAGATTGTGCTTCCCTGCTCACACCCACCCACGCGTGTGGCTCAGGCCTCTCTCAGACCAGACGGCAGAGGGCTGTTACCTGGGACCTTCTCTAACCCGGCTGCCACGTGAGAACAGAGCTGAACCCCAAGCAGCAGCAGCAGCAGGACTGGTGCAGACGCCCAGGGCGTCCAGGGTGCCTGGGGGCATGGATTTCAGGCTCCGTGCAGAAGGCCGCCTCCTGATTGGGCACCAGGACGTTCTATGGCTGCCGTCCCTGTATCGTCCTTCCCTTACCGGGAAGGGTGTAGTAGGCAGAATAATGGCCCCCGAAGATGTCCACATGCTAATCCCTAATCCCCGGAGCCTGTGACTATGTTTCATTACACGGCAAAGGGGAATTAAGGTTGCAGATGGAATTAAGGTGGCTAATTAGCAGACTCTACTTTTTTTTTTTTTTACTGAGGAAGATTCGCCCTGAGCTAACATCTCTATTTTGAGCCAATCATCCTCTATTTTGTATGTGGGTCACTCCGAGTGGTTTAGGTCTGTGCCTGGGAACCGAACCTGGGCCACGGAAGCGGAGCACGCCGAACTTAACCACTAGGCCATGGGGCCAGCCCCTAATCAGCCGACTTTAAATAGATTGTCATGGATTATCTCAGTGGGCCCAGCGTAATCACGAGAGTCCTTGAAAATGGAAGTGGGAAGCAGAAGAGAGTCAGAGGGAAAGGCCGCTATGAAGAATGGTCAGAGAGATGCAATATCACCAGCTATGAAGATGCAGGGAGGGGCCCAGGAGCCAAGGAATGTGGGTGGTCTCTGGTAGCTGGAAAAGGCAAGGAAGAGCTTCCAGAAAGGAACACAGCCCTGCAAACACCTTGATTTTAGCCCAGTGAGACCCCGTCAGACTTCTGTCCTACAGAACTTTAAGATGATAAATTTGTGTTTGAAGTTTAGTTTAAGCCACTAAATTTGCAATTTGTTAACAGCAGCCATAGAAAACTAATAAACAGGGACACCACATACTTCATTTCCAGAATCAGTGACATCTGTGTCATCAGTTTCCAGAGCACAGATGGGAACCAGACAACCTGGACCCAAGTCTGGGCTTTGACCCTGACAGGCTGTGTTGACCTGGGGCCAGTCCAAGCTGCTCCTCTGTGCCCTGGGGCAGTGCTGCCTCCCTGGTTGGTGGGAGTTAATGGAGGTAGAGCAAATGGACCAGAGTGCTTTGCACGGCACCGGCTGGCACCTAGTGCCCCGTAAATGGTCGCGGTCCTGGCTGCAGTTGGCAAGGCCTTTCTGGCACTGCTGAGTTACTGGAGAAGTGGCAAGTGGTGACGTGCCTGGCAGCGTGACTACCGCATCCTGAACTCATCTCCATGACCTTTCCCGGAGGAGGCGCAGGTCTTGCTGGTGGTCCTGGAATGATGGTGGGCCTTGGCCCTTCTCATCTCGCCGGTGTGCCCACCTCCCTGCGCAGGTCTGCCGCTGACCCTCTCTTGGGCGTCGGCAGTGGTGTTAGCAGCATCCACAGGCGGATTCCGTGGTCCTCCCCGCAGCCCGGTGGAGCGTTATGGCCACACAGGGCCAGAGGGGCCTGAGCACAGGGCAGGTCTGCAACGCGCCAAACCCTAGCGCCGTCTTCCTAATTTACAGCTCAAGAAGCAAGTCGCAAGGGGCCAGTAGACCCCAGGGTGGCAAAGCTGGTACTGGAATCTTCTCTGGAACTCTGGCTCCTTCTCCGCAGGTTATAAAAATATCCACTATTATATTTATCAAATAAGATTAATAGTATAGAAAGATAAAAATATTTATATTAAAAAATCCATCTTCATAGTCTTTGCAAAAAAATAGGAAAAATATAAAGAAAAAGGTCACCCCAACTCTTCCACCCGAGGACGCCACTCGGAACTCGAGTTTTCTGCCTTCACATTCCACTGCGTATTTCCACCCTTGCTCCCCGGCTGCTCTGGATTCGGTTCCAGCCGCGCCCCGCCCGCCCCCGGGGCTCAGGGGCCTGGGGAAAGTCGCCGAACCGGACGTACTCGTTCGCGCCACTTGTCACCTCCCCGCGGCCGGCCCGGACCCGCGGCTCCCGGGGACTGGGGGCGGAAAAGGGTGGGGCCGGGGCCCGGGTGCCCGGCAGGGAGACAAGCCGGGTGCCCCGGCTGCAAAGCGCTCCGCTCCGCAGGGCCGGCCGCGCCCTCCGAGTTCGGTACCACGCCGGGGCCGCGGGGAGGGCCGGGGGCGGGAGGCTCCGCCGATCAGGAAGTTGGAGGCGGCGAGCCCGCCCCGAGGGGAGGCGCCAGGCGGCCGCGCGACCCTCCGAGAGCTGGGGGAGGCTCCAGCGCGGCGCGCCGCCGAGCGCCGGGAGCGGGCAGAGTCCCGGGCGGGGCGCGCACGTGTGTATACGAGTGCGGGGGCCGTCCGGCGGCCGGGACTACAAGTTCCAGGGTGCCCAGCGGCGCGCCCGGGTTTTCTGGCCGCGCGGCCCGCTGGCTCTGAGCAGGTCCCCGCGGGCTGGCACGCGCCACCCAGTCACCGAGTAAATAAGGGAGAGACTCTCCCGAGCACCGTAAATAGAGTCCAAGTGGGCGGGGAGCTGCCCCGCGCCGCCCGCTCATGTCTCTGCAGAGCCGAGTGTCCGGCCGCCTGGCACAGCTGCGCGCCGCCGGGCAGCTGCTGGTCGCCCCGCGCTCCTGGCCCGGCCCCTTGGCGGGGGCCCCACGGACCCGCAGCAGTGCGGCCGCCCCCCGCGCGCAGACCCCAGCGGGAGTTGGGGCTTGTGGGGCGGCGGCGGTGGGGCGCAGAGTCGGGGTGCGCACCTGGGCCCCCCTGGCCATGGCGGCGAAGGTGGACCTGAGCACCTCCACCGACTGGAAGGAGGCAAAATGTAAGTGTAAGCAGGAGGGGGGCGCGAGGGGCGAGGGCGGCCCCACCCGGGCCTTCCCCGGCTGGACAGCAACACACCAGCAGCCTCCTCCACCCAGAGACCTGGGGAAGTTAAGGCCCCATATGCTCTGGTGTGAACCCCCCTGTTCACAGCCACGGCCCCCGTGCCCAGACCAACAAACCACTTCACCTCAGACCAGGTCCAGGTGCCCTGTCGGGGGCTGTGTTATGGGGGTTCCCTTACCCCACTGGAATGGGCCGCAGGGCACCCCTAGAGATCATCCTGGACCTCCCACCTTACTCTCGTGCAGGAGGGAAACTGAGGCCCAGTGCCTGAGCGGATTTGCACAAGGTCACTTGGAGTTTGTGGCAGAGCTGACGTTAGGCTCCTGAACTCCTGAAGCTTTGCATAGTATGGTTTCTCAAGTGGTGACATTTTAGGCAGAGTGGCAGGGAATGGGCTGAGGGGACAGCTGTGGGCCTGGTGGCCCACTGGTGGGATCAGATAGCCCCACGGAGTGGCCTCCTTCTGCCTCCACTGCACCCCTACCCTGAGGGCCTGCCTCTCTGGGCACGTGGTCTGGTGCCATTTTCCCCTCGTCCCTGGCCTCTGGCCTCTTGTGAACAGTCTCTCCCCCATTCCTGGGGGACACAGGGCCCAGGGGTTGGGGGGCAGGGCAGAAATGGGGTGTTGTGTCTGTGAGAAAAACAATGACCCCCTCTCCCGCAGGAATCAAGCCACTTCCTTCAGCTTTGGTCAGGGCCTGCGTCCTGGTGGGGCAGGAGTCCCAGTGCTGGACTCTGGACCCGGCACAGAGCAGGGAGGACAGGGAACCCGACCTGCAGGGCCCCAAATAGCCCCGGCTGCCCGCCCGTCTGCCCCTGCCCTTCAGGGCCTGCTCCTGGGCGCCTGTAACCATTCCCAGCTGGATCCCCTTTCAAAAGCGCAGGGAAGCAGGCTCATTGGCTGGGCCCGCGTGGCAGAGTGGGTGCAGCCAATGGGGCTGGGAGGGCCCGCCTGGGGCGGGCCTGGCTGGGGGTAAGGGAAGGCGTCCTCTCGGGATTGGAGGTAGAGTTCCAGATGACTTACCCCTGAAATGCGTTGCCTTCGCTGGAATCTTAAAGTGCCGGCAGAAAGCACTGGGCTTTGGTCCCTGAGCGCACGGAGCGCCTGTCACGCCCACAGCCCTGGGCCCAGAACGCTGGTCATGGGGGGGGGGGGCGGGCTGGCAGAGTCTGCTGGCAGGGGACTGTCCCTCAGGGAGCCCTGCTTCCCTTTCTGTGTCAGAGAACAGCAGCCCAGGGTAGTGGGGAAGAGAGCAAGGGAGGCCCGGCCTGGGCACCTGTTCCCGGATCTGCCGCTATCTCTAGGATCCAGCTCCCCACCCCTCCTGTTCCTTGGTGCTGCTGAAAACTTCCAGACCGCATGAAGCAGGCGGCCGAGTCCCAGGCCGCTGCGGTGTCTGTGCTCGGAGCTGGATTTCCATTCATGCCTCTGCTCCATTTTTATCGCGTGCCTTCTGTGTGGCCAGCATTGTCCTGGTGCCGGGGACTCAGCTGTGAGCAGTCAGGCCAGGGCCCCGCCCTTCTGCTTCGGTGGGAGAAGCCAGAATAGAGAATGTGGTCAAGCCAGTGGGACCATGCCAGGTCAAGGTCAACGCTGCGAGGAAACCATGGCAGGTGGGGGCCGCCTGAGCTCCAGTGTCCCTCGGGCAGCGGGAGGAGGGCGGTCTTGCCCCAGGAACCCCAGCAGGCGTCACATGGTGGCTTATGGGGATAAGATGCAGAGAGATCTCCCTGTGTTTTACTTATCTATTCTCGAGTGATGGATTACCTCCAAATTTAGTGGCTTCAAACAGTAAACATTTATTCTCTCACAGCCTCTGAGGGTCAGAAAGTTGGGAGGAGCTTGGCTGGGGGTCAGAGGTCGGCTGGGGCTGGGTTAGGGCTGGAGTGAGCTGTCCGCAGGGGGCTCACTCACGTGAGATGGCTGTTGGCTGGAGGCCTCAGTTCTTCACCCCCGGGGCCTCTCCACGGGGCTGCTTGAGTGTCCTCAAAACGTGGCAGCTGGCTTCCCCCAGAGCACGTGATCTAAGTCAGGGAGCACAAGGAGACCGCCGCGGAAGCCACTGTGCCTTTTTGTGACTTAGTCTTCAAAGTCCCACACCATCTCTCCCACTCTCTTCTAGGGCTTTGAATCGAGTCCCGGGGTCTGGCCCACATTTACGGGAGGGAAACTGGATTCCACCTTTGGAGGGGAAGAGGATCAACTGGCCTCTGCCTCTGATTGGGGTCTGAGCCTTGGTCCTTGAAGACCCCACACCTTTTTTTTGTGACAGTCACTTGACACTTTGAGCTGAGTTCTGTTGTACAGTGAAGTACATCAAGTGTACAGGCCTTAAGTGTGTGGCCAGTGTATTTTTACAGAAACGTCCAAGTGTGCAACCACTGGTAGAACACTGCCATCACCCCAGAAGATTCGTTTGAGCCCCTTTCTAATTGGTACCCCCTAGAGCCAATCTCTCTTCTTTTTTTTTTTTTTTTGGTGAGGAAGATCAGACCTGAACTAACATCTGCCAATCCTCCTCTTTTTTTGCTGAGGAAGATTGGCCCTGGGCTAACATCCATGCCCATCTTCCTCTACTTTACATGGGACAACGCCACAGCATGGCTTGACAAGTGGTGTGTCTGTGCGTGCCCGGGATCCGAACCCGTGAACCCCTGGCCGCCACAGCAGAGCGTGCACACTTAACTGCTTGTGCCACCCGGCCGGCTCCCAATCTTTCTTCTATCTATTGGTTTTGTCTCTTCTTGAACTTCATATGGACAGTGGCAAACAGCGTGTCTGGCTCCTTCAATATCTGTGCGATGTGTCCACATTATTGGGTGTGCCAACAGTTTGCTCTTTTTTATTGCTGCGCAATATTCCATGGTGTGGATGGGCCACAGTTTGTGTGCCCATTCTCCTGTTGATGGGCATTTGGGTTCCAGTTTGGGGACTGTTGGGAATAAAGCTGCTCTGAATATTCTTGTACATGTCTTTCATGGACATGTGTGCTCTTTTCTCTTGGGGATATACCTAGACAGGCCTCGAAATGCCCATCTGTGCCTGAGATGATCCTCTCTCAAACACTGGCACACAGTAACCAAACTTGTGAGAGACTGATGTATAGATCAGAAAGTTGATGTGCAGTTCACAGTGGGAAACTCTAGTAGCAGTGGGTCTGGAAACTCACGTGTGCCTGGACAGGGCCTCCTCTTTTTGTGGAAAAGCCACGTGGAAGCCAGATTATAGTCTTAAGTTTGCTCAGCAACATGTCGTTCTCAACTGGGGAGCTGGTTGAATGATTTCGGAAGCTGATCCCACTTCCCTGGGCAGCCTGGGCAAGCTTCCCTGCCAGGGGGGTCCTACCCACCGAGGATCTCCTCCCCTGGGCGGTCGCTCAGCATTTCAGTCTGTATGCAGTGTTGAGTGCCTGCTCCGGGCCCTGGGTGAGGACACCCCGGCCCCCGGCCCAGTGAGTCCTCTGGGCAGATTGTGCCTCACTCTAGGCATCTGTTTTCTCTGTCTTCAAGCTGACTGCCCACTTTGTGGACCCATTCTCCGTCTAGGTAAGTAAATACCATTGGGTTGGATCTCCCTGCCTAGGAGACATTCAGCCTTTTGGGAGACCTCTGCAGTATCTCATTTCACTGGCCAGGGGTTAATTTCTCTAATTTAATGCCTTCAGTTCTTGGGTGCCTTATTATCCCCCCAGTAATGCCTTTTCATCAGAAATTATGGAAACAGTCATGCTGTAAAGGCAGTTGGGTGTGAGGGGACTTAAGGTTGGGCCCTTGGGGCATCTGGGGGCTGTGTCACCACAGGACGGGCCTCGCCTCCAGGAGAAGGGCCGTGGATCCTTGTTCCAGCCTGCGGCAGGGGCAGGGCTGTGTGCCACAGAGAGAGCGGGCATTGGTGTCATCAGACGTGGGCAAGCCCCACCGCCACTCCTTCCACGCTCCCTGAGCCTCGGTTTCCTCATCTGTAGAATGGGGCCAACGGCGCCCGATTTGTAGATTGGGCTGGCATCACATCAGAGACCCCCAGAGGGTCCCCCTTCCTTGTCGCCCCTGGGGCCTCTCTCCTCTCTCTGCTCTGCTCTGGCCACGGCGACACTGGGCTCCTGCAAATTTGTCTCCCCCGTCTCAAATGCTGAGCCCTGATCCTGCATATCCTGAGTTCCCTGTCCCTGGTGGCTCAGGGTAGGTTCACATCTTCCGGCCTCAGCTTGCTCTGGGCAGGGGCGAGGACTCATTTCATCCCCCGCGGAGTTTCGTGCAGAATGGATGATTTATCTGATGTGACTGCCGAACCGGGAAATTTCCCAGGCACACCTGGAATTGGGGGGCTTCTCCCCCCTGTCTTCTGGGGAAGCAGCCTTGGTCCGTCCCAGTGTGGGCAGAGATGAGGCGGCCTAGCGAGAGCAGAAAGGCTCCCAGGTACTCATGCTGTCTCCCTGTTTCTTGTGCCACGGGCTTTGACGGGTCCCCGCTCTTGGGGGACAGGGAGCCCCGATGATTGATGCCCCTGCCGCGGTGTTCCCAGAGCCCCACTGTGATCAGCCCTGCCCACCCGGCCTTCCCCAGCAGAGGAACCTCCCTCCGCGCCAGCCCGCCCTCACCTTTCCAATTGCCGTCTTGCAAAGTGCCATCAAGACACTTCTTAAAACACATCATTGAATTCCTGTTCGCCCGCTGCTCTTTATGGTCCTGGCGCAGTCCGCTTCCTCCAGCTCGGCTCTCCTGCCCGGGAGCTGCTCAAAGCTTCGTCCGGGGTCGGGCCTCCCCATCAAAATTTACTGCCAACATATTTTTACAACACCTGTCTCACTGAGCTGAGAAATACTCTCGCCTCTCCAAAGAAGAAAGAAAATTAAAACGTATGTTATACATCTTTTATAAGAAAAATAAAACTCACTTGTGCTTTAAGTACACATCTGTCCTGCTGGGAGAAGGAGG